TTTACTTCACCTAATTTTTTGGGAATCATATTTTGTGACCTGTGAGCCAGGTAAATTGTGAGAATGTTGCTATGATATGAAATAAGCCCCAGTACGTTCTGGCCGGTATGCATATGTCTTGCCGCTTCTTTTAACACTGCTTTGCTAACATTGCTCTGTTCACTTTAGGAAAGAAGGGGTTTCTTTTACTGTTTACCCTCACCTTAAACTAAAGAGTTATATATAGGAATTGTCTGTTTCAAAGTTAGGATATAGTGTCATTTATGATATATAATCTTTGTTACCAGAGGAATACTACAGACCAGTACTGAGATGTGAAACCGAGGAACTGGAAAATTATATCAACGCAGTGTTAATTCCGGTAAGCCACCTTATTCAATTTGCTCAGGGTTTAATGTTTATAAATAATAACTATTGATTAGATGTATACTTTTGCAATCAAAGAACTAGAAAGTTCAGCCTCCGCAACCTTTGAAAATAGTCGTTGGTTAGCAAGTGAATATTCGTTACTTGCCACGAAAACAAAATGTTAAAACGGAAACGTTACTGTTGTATGAATGTAAAACCGAAAAGCACGCGCCCGCACACGCACACCAGCACACACAATATAGATACGCTAAGACACACCCAATGGCAGAGGAAAAGTTGATTCTAATAAAAGTGCAAAGAATATAGGCGAAAAGTATAAAAAATGAATGGTGAAACACATTACAACCGTAAATTAATTACAATAATTGCCGTAGACAGTCAAAATAATAAGAACTCCACAGGGAAGCATGTACAGCAGAAGTCTACCAATCATCAGTCGAAGTGATCCCTCGTTCACAATTGTGTCGGCCCAGGATCTCCTAGACAATTTGAGAGGGTGGGCTTACCTGATTTTATGAAGCTCAGGCTTGATCTGCTCCTGCTGCACGTATTGCCGGATGTTCTCGGACAGGGACAAGAAGAAATTGTTGACTGCAACAGGTACTGTGAGATTCAAAGTTTATTTTTGTCGCTGCTGTGTAGCCTATTAGATCAATCGGCAAACCTTGACGACCAAGTGGCAAGCTTACGGGTGGTTTATCGGACACATGTTAGACTTTGTTGGCAATTGGCAGAGGGACACCAGCAGACAGTTCAGACACGATGGACTTTTGGGAATAAGACTTTTTTTCGACCAGATACCAGGACCAGCCTTCAGAGACCCACAACCCCGACGTTCCGTTGTGTCGAAAGCCAGCTCGAGGCTCTCTCTGCAGCTTCGCCAAGTTGTTTTAGTGACCATCTACACTGGTTTCCTCGCAAGCCCGATTGCTTAATCACATTGTCAATATATACCGGCTAGATTTTAGGCGGAGACTGTTAGCAGCCTAGGCTAGATAGCAGCAGTCTGAACGTGGTCGAGCTTTTATTTTTTTTTTCTCAAAAGGACTTGGACTTGGACAGGAGAAACAAATCTGCAAACATTGTGACAACTGGCAAATTTGACGGAAATATTTTTCAGTCACATTTCTTTAAGAAAGTTAGACTTCTAAAAAAAGGCTGTATAGTACAATCTTTATTCAGTCGCCTAAAACCGCGGGCTTTTTAAAATGTCTAACATGTATGTAACCTTGCGTGCAAATAAACTATCTTAACTTATTGTAATTCTGCATTTATAACCTTCACTTATTTACATATGTGTGTTCACAATGCCAAGAGTTTGCTAAATGTCACGCTGTACTGATGAACCTTTGTCTATTGTAATTTATTCCCTCCAATGATTGAATTCCCTGTTTCCCTTTTCAGAGCTGTGAAAAACATGACCACCAGATTCTCACCCAGTTGCCATTACCGACAACAGTCATCGATTTTTGGCGGCTTGTGACCCAGTACAAGGTGACTGTAATAGTGGCGTTTGAGAGGGATCAGAGCACCGTCGACACGGTAATCATTATTTTACATTTGTTGATTTAAATATGAATGATGGTTGACCTTGATCTCCAAACAGATATCTCTGAATTGAAATTGTGTTAAATGCAGGTCGTTGGCAGATTTGTGTCAGAGTTAAACTTCTTCTTCTTCTTCTTCTTCTTCTTCTTCTTCTTCTTCTTCTTCTTCTTCTTCTTCTTCTTCTTCTTCTTCTTCTTCTTCTTCTTTTTCTTCTTCTTCTTCTTCTTCTTCTTCTTCTTCTTCTTCTTCTTCTTCTTCTTAGTCTTATTCTTCTTCTTCTTTTGTTCCTCTCTGCTTTTTCTGTTCTTCTTCTTCTTTGTTCTTTTTTGTGTTTTATTTTAAGTGTTTTTATTAATATGCTATTGTACTGCTACTGTCGCAGCTTTAATATCCTTACAGAGCATCGGCCCTCAGAAAACACGCCACATTGTTTACTAACATGTACGGTTGTCTTCATAATCCAGGAGAAAAGAATAATTAAGGTGACATAATGCATTTCATTGCACACCCGTTTCTTTACTTTAGTCATACCGCCACCCTAACCCCACACCACCCCCCCCCCTCCCACACACACACACACACACACACACAAAACTTCTTGGCTCTCAGGTAGACCTAGCGTAAAATGGATACCAGGAACTGCCGTAAAAGTAAAGACCATCAGCCGCTTTTTATCACATTACACAAAGTGCGAATTATTTTATAAACTTGATGTCTTGCCCGCTATGCCCGTTATGTGACGTGCGGGTGTTCCTTTTGTCCTCTCCGGGTAGCTATCTGAAAGACTAGCACATCAAGATTACACAATTTCAATCTGAATGGCAGACAAGCTGGTCAGATTCCAGATACCCAGTTTAACCTTTGAAGAAATTACAATTGAGACACCTGTAAAGGGACAACAGCCTCATCTAGCCTGTAATCCGGTTCTCATTGTACCAAAGGCGTGAAAGAGGCCATTAATTGTTTTACATTCCTGTCCTACACCTACACACAAACTCTCTCCTCTCTCTCTCTCTCTCTCTCTCTCTCTCTCTCTCTCTCTCTCTCTCTCTCTCTCTCTCTCTCTCACTCCCCCCCCCCCCCCGGGCCTTTCCAACAAATGTGTATGCAATGGAGCTAACCTAATAAAATATCTTGGTTTCAGACAATTGGTGATTATTTGCCCGAAAGCGACGATGAAACAAAAACTTGTTCGTTTCTCAACATCAGAACCACAGGACTGGATTCTTGTGATACCTGGGACACGCATAGAATTACAGTCAGTGTCAATGAAGAACATGGATCGAAGCCAGCAAACCTGCCCGTAAGTTCTTCTCTTGAATAATACAATGCACATATTTCTTCTGCTTGCCTGTTGACCTAGTGTTTATCTGCTCAAATTCTCTTCAAGGGGGACAATTGCCTCCACCCCCCCCCCCCCCCACCTACCCCACCCTCTACAACATTTTTCTTCAGCACTTTGTTATGGTCTAAAATAGACACCCACCCACCCTCTCTCTCTCTCTCTCTCTCTCTCTCTCTCTCTCTCTCTCTCTCTCTCTCTCTCTCTCTCTCTCTCTCTCTCTTGGTGTCGGTTCCCCGTAACTAGTCCCATATTTTTAAGCCATATATATTTTGTTTTATATTCGGTACTTAATGGAGGCCATTGTCGGTCCAAAGTCTGGATGAGAAAGTGGGAGGGTTCCGCTTTGGGGCCAGCTCTCCCACCCAGTAAATAATTATTGGCTACAGACGTTTGCAGGAAAGAATGCCATTCGGGTAAACAACCGAGTCACGCGGTGTGTGGTGGACAGAGTAAATGTATGACCGTTACGGATAAAAGCCGCTCTGCATAAATCATAGGCCAGACATGCACATTTAGTTAGTTGCGTATCCTTTACAGAACTTTGCAGAACCAACCCAAGCATTTATTGGCTATTGTATGTTTATTATTCAAATTTACGTCCAGTAGTTTTCCATTGCTTCCTGGACGGTCGGCTTCTCGAAACCACTATAGAAACCAGCGCAAGGCCCGCAGCTGGGATCAAACTGGCACCTCTGCATTACGAAGCACGTTCGCAACGCCTAAGCCACAGACGCCGACACGTGCACATTACTTGACTCAAAAAAAATCACACCTATATACTCAGGGAATGTAGATACAAAACATGGAAGGAGTAAGCATTAAGATGACACCCAGGGCTGCAAAATGGTTGCTACAATGGGAGCCTATTTCAGGCAAAATAATTTGAGCTAATTTTAGTACAAGACACATTAGAGGAATAATTGTTCACATTTCATGGAAAGATATCTTATTGATTGTAACGACTGGATAGTAATTACTCTGTTATCAATAATGTAAATATATTTTGTAAAATAATTATCAGTAGATTTAAATGGGTAGTGGACAAAATCCTGAGAGAGGAACAAACAGGTTTTCCATCTGGAAGAAGCTGTATAGATCAAATACCCTCAGACTTATTTTTGAGGAATTTATTGTGGGGGGGGGGGGACTATCATTTTGAATTTCATTGACTTTAAGAAGGCTTTTTATATTCTATTTAGAACATCACTAAGAGGGAATTTTGGAAAGCTATAGTAAACAAATAAAAATAATAAATATTTTTTGAGGTTATGTATAAATGTTCAGAATGTGCAGTGCCAACAGATGATGGTTTAAGTGACTAGTTTGAAGTTGATACTGGACTGAAAAAGAGATGCATTTTATATCTTCTGTTATCTGCCATAAGTATTTACTGTGTGATGAAAAGAAATGTACTGGAGACACCGCCATTGACAGAGTGGAGAATACACAGATTGAAGATCTTGATTTTGCTGATGATATTATTCTACTCGGTAAAAACATCAAAGAATTGCAAAGAAAAACATATAAAAATATAACAAGGACTACAAATAAATTGGGAAAAGACAAACATGTTGAAGACACTAACTACCGATTAAAACACATGTAACACTAGAGACCTCAAAAAATTAAAGTAATATGTCAATTTACTTATTTAGGTAGTGCAGGAAATACAAAGAAAGAAATCATAACACGCCCTGGCAAGGCATTGTCAATTTTTAATTGCTTGAACAAAATATGGAGCTCTAAACTGTATAGTTCTAAAACGAAGCTACGTATTTTGAATTCTAATGTTACAGTGGAACCTTGCTTAGCGAGCACAATTCTTTCCAGAATCATTCTCAAATAGGCATTAAAATAGAAAATGAATAAATTAAGGAGGCAGGGACGCCAAAAAGAAACCTTAAGATGGACGTTGATGAGAGAGGCCAAAACTGCTGGCCAGGATTCCATCCATGATATCGAACTGATTGCACATGATAGAATGGAATGGCGGAATAGACTGCTAGCCCTGTGTGCCATATAAACGCACAACAGGTTAATCAACAATAAATTAATGATGAGGGATTAGGCAGTATCGTTGCGCTTTCAGTTTACCTTTTTTAAATCTCAAATAAACTAGATTGCTACACATGTGTGTAAGGCTGGGTCAACCCTAGAGACACGTGACGGTGAAACAAAATCCCGTCCTCCTTCTCTTGATGTATTGAATTCAGGACCATTAGACTGGCAGGTGAATGCGCTAGAAATTGTTCATCCCTGGCTTCTCCGTTCAACTTTCTTTACGTAATGCAACTACAGAAAAAGGTAAAGGATCCGTTTAACAACAGTTGCCTATCGAATATATTGTGCTAGACTCACATTTTAATAGATCAGTCGGTACTCGGTGGGTTATGAGGACAACGTCAGGCCCTGTCGCCTTTACTTCCCATGACATTACTCATACCAGTTTTCTTCTTCTAGTTGGCATTCACTGGCTGTAAACTTCTGCGAAAAGTTCTGATTGCTCTTCCACTTCTGGACTTTGGTCTTGTACCAAAACTTGAATTTTGAGTGACACTCATAACCTAACAGATCTGGTTTATATTATGCAGACTGTTGGTTCCTTGTCTCTCAGGTAGATGCACCCCTACTTAAAAGGGAATACCCCTAATTAGTCGCCGTGTACAATATGCATGTAAGAGGGCTGTTGCTCTACCCCCCCCCCTCCTTCCTGACCCCACCTTCTCTTCCAAATGGGGTCCGGGAATTCACACGGAAATTGCCCATTTTAAACCGGATCTACCTGGGAGCCATGGTCAATTTTGAAAATGGAGCAGAAAGGGGGGGGGGGCGGGAGTCAGAAATAATTTGAATTCAAGACCTTCGAGTCGGCAGGTGACTTTAGCCACTACACTCCCGCAGCACCCACATTAGATACTAATTACAATTATTCTGTATCTGAACAGTTCAAGGGAGAATATCGTCTCTCACATCTTTCATGGAAAAGCAAAGATCTTGAGCCCCAAAATCTGTTGAACTTGATGGAAAAAATTCGGTCCATGAAACCAGTCGGCGAAGGAAGAACGTTGTTCACATGCAGGTAATGTGGTCACTGTCAGAATTTGGTTATAAAGTTACTGATGCTTACCAGTTCAACTGTATCTGCCTTTTGTCTTCTTCTTCATAGCTAATTATGCATGCGGTGTAATGTAAGTAGTAACATTGACAAATTGGAAATGTGACAACTTTTGAATATCTAGGCTCTGTAATACACAACAATGGGGACTGTTTGACAAAAATTAAAAGGAGGATGGCCATTAGAAATGCAAAGATTAAAAAGAATTAAAAGTCTATGGTTAAGCACCAGCAAAGAAATCAAAATTAGAATTTTGAGAGCATGCATCTTCCTGTAGCAACATACGGGTGTGAGACGTGGATTATATCCCAGTCCTTAAGAAAGAGAATATTGGCTTTTGAGTTGAAATGCTATAGAAAGATTCTCAGAATATCTTGGACAAAGAAGATGAGAAATACTGACATCTTGAAAGATCTGAACATCAAGGAAGATTGGCTAATAAACAGCATCCTGTACGAAAGCTGAAATATTTAGGTCATATCAAGCGCCACGACGGATTGGGGAAAAAAGCAGAAGACATGGTACCAGGAAGGAGGGGCAGGGCCGAACAACACGAAGATGGACACAGGATATAAATGACTCATTGAGTATGAAAGTACGTGAGGCAGGAGAGCTGGCGATAGACCGAGTTTCTTTCAGGCAGACCGTAAAGGACCTGCTACATGATGATGATGAGCATAGTGACGCATTCTATCTCATCTTGGTGCTCTTGTACTTTACGGTGAAAGTAAAGTGTAAAAAAAAAAAAACTCGTGTGTCCATTTGCATGTCATTGTTCCGAACCCGCTCCGCACAAGGCCGTCCAATCGCATGAGCGCTCTGGACACTTGCCCATAGGCACCATGGGTTAGGGCCTCTTGCTAATCTGTGCATGTCAAGTTAAAAAAAAAATAGTAAAAATCCCTTTTTCACGCCTTTAGGCGTATTGGAAATATAGGGCTAGACCTATGTTTGTATAGACCAATCTGCACTTGGTGGGTGGTGTGGTTAGCATCACGCCGGCCGCCTTTACTTCACGGGACTGCACCTTGTTCCCACTTAAGACTGGTCGACCTGGTCCGGAAAAAAAAGTCCGCCTCCTTCAGGGCGCGAACCCACAACCTTCCGATCCGCAGGCAGGCGTCTAGTCGATAACGCCACGGCAACTCCCATCATGTTAAGTGTTTGTCCTGCAGACTGCAATCTAGGAGGGGACAAACTGCACTACTTTTGCGTTCATTTCCCATCATCACATTCGACTGCAGGTTGTGTGTAACTACATGGTTGTCCTAATATAACTGTATTGTACAGTTGAAAAGGACTTCTGAGATTTCCACTGTATGATTCTCACTCTTAAGGTGTTAATCACACAGACAGCAATCCTGGAGGAAAACAGCGATCACCACCACTGTTTTCATGCTTAGAAAGTATTACATCATGGCATGTTTAATTCACGTTGAATTTAAAAACTAAAGAACATAATTCCATTTCTTATGTAACAGGATAAAGTAAGGTTTTCTTGGATGTTATTTGGTATAGTCTTGGGAAAATTGGGACGGGGGTCATCTCTACAGCTTTCCATTGGCTTGAGAATCAGCGGCACATTTATTAATGTGACTCCCAAAGCATGCTGGAAAAAAAAGAAAGGGACAGACATGATCCGCAAGTGGCAAGCTTCGTTTAAAATGTTATCGCAACAAGCTGGTAACTGGTTTAGCTCCTGAACTTTATGACGCATTACTTTTAATGTTTCTAACAAATGTATTTAATCTTGATGCTCTTGTGAAAATCAGAAACGGTGCTGAGTTGAGTGGACTGGCGTGCACGATGTCTCTCCTGCTGGATCGCTTGGACAACGACCAGCATGTATGTGTGCCTCTTGTGGTCGGCACACTCAAGGCTATTAGACCTCAGATCATTCCAACTCTGGTAAGACATCTGCTACATAGTGTTAATGTGTTTTTAATGTAAACATGAAAGTGAACAACTATAACTGATGGTCAATCCTTTTTTTTTATAATTTGGACACATATGTATGTCTATTAATACAGACAGGAAAGGACATACAATGCCTCTTGTGGCAAAAGCAGTAGGACGAAAAAAAAAAAAGGAGATAAGTATACTATTTGTGGCAGATATTTTAATTAATCGTGTAGACATATCGAGCAAAGAGAGCATACCCTTGTATGCGGGATGTTTTATGTATTGCCAGATCTACAAATAAGTGTTTTAAAAAAATAAAAATTAGAGACTACCAAAAGCTGATTATGTTAAAGAATGATGAGAACCCTATTGAAAGCAAGTATACAGTACTACAGGAGGAAATTATGTCCAGATTTTAATTCTTGTAAAGACAAAACTTTCATTGTCTTATCAAATTAGGAGATTACACGGGCTGAAAAATTTAAGAATAATAGAACTGTAAAGATTTGAAATGTTACAGACCTACAACATGTGTTTATGAACATAGCAGCAAATGATATACAAAGTGTGATTGCAGGCTTTTGTCGAAAGCGATACATTTATCCTAAATATATATATATATAATATATATATATATATATATATATATATATATATATATATATAAATATATATATATATATACTATCTGAGCCCTGCCACGCGTTGCTGTGGCCCCGAATGGTGAAATGGAAATAAAGAAAGTAGCTCTCAACTAACAGTGTCTGTCATAACCCTTACCCCCCTCCCCTCTCCCCTCCTCCCAGTCATATCTCCCTCTCCGAAAGATTGAAATATCATCCCTGGCGAAAGTAGTAAAATAAAAATAGTTAAGAAATGAGAACTTGAAAATAATGTTTTGATCTCTCTTAGCTAACAGTGTCTGGTATAACACCCCCCCCCCCCCATTATATTTCACAGTCTGAAGAAATAAAAAATCATTTCTTGGCAAAATTATTAAAAAAGAAATATTTAAGAAATGATAACTTTAAAATAATGTTTTAAGCTCTCTCAGTTAACAGTGTCTGGCATCCACCCCCCCCCCCCTTTCCTCATCCCTCCCCCACTAATCATATCATCCTCGCCGAAGGATTGGAAAGTCATCAACTTGCAAAATATTTTACTAAATTGAGCTTTGCATCCGTGTCCACCCAGAAACAGATGGATAGCATTAATGTGTAATGAGAAGTAAATGTGGCCAGTGTAACAGCTACCTAATCACCCATCCAGTACCATACTACCGCTACCACTACCACCACCACCTTCAGCGGGAAAAAAAAACCAGTCACAACTGTCTGTGCAGGTCGGTGTAGCCAGAGGAGGTAGCGCCACATGTTGTCGCCACGGACTGTTTAGTGTAATTGAGCTCCCAACAAAGAAAAATATAAAAAAAAAACTCCATCACCTAACCAGTGATGGAACCCACAGTAATAGTCCGTTCTATACTCACAAATAGCGGAAATAAAAACCCCACCCGTCATCTCCCCTCTCCGAAGGGACGAATGTTAAATGACCTTGGCATTCGTGTCCACCCAAAGTAAACTTGACTGTAAGCAGTCTTAGTTAAAAGCTTCTGTCATCTACGAATAGTTTATTATCGAGTGAAGCGTTGCTGGGAGGATAAATGGGACTTTACTGAAACTGGATGTCTTTGGGCGAAAGGTGCAGATATCGCAGCCTAGCTGTAAACCACAACACAACATGCCAACAGCCCTCTTGAGGGCGAACGAAGATTACCCGTTACATGACCAACATCACGTCGCCGCTATCGCAGGCTAGCTGTAAACCCCCAAACCGAGCGAAAAAAGGCGTAGATATCGCACCCTAGCTGTAAACCACAACACAACGTGCCAGCCGCCTTGTTAAGGGCCCAAAAAAATATTTAATTACCCAGCAGGGCATTGATCGTCGGTCACCCGCGTAACACGCAAAATATACAACTACGCTACCAAGGACTCAAGCATCTGCCCAATTATAACTCCTTCTCCGAATGATTGAAACATTATTATGTGGCGACATTGTTTAAATAGAAATATTTAAGAACTGAGAACTGTAAAAAAATGTTTTAAGCTGTATCAGTTAACAGTATCTGTCATCAAACACCCCCCCCCCCCCTTCCTCCCCCCGACAATCAAATCATACTCTACGAAGAATGGGAAAGTCATCCACTGACGAAATATTGTTGTTAAATTGAGCTTGGCATCCGTGTCCACCCAGACAAAAATGGGTAGCATTAATCTGTGCTGAGAAGTAAATGTGGCCAGTGTAACAGCTACCACATCACCCATCGAGTACCAATACTAATGCTACCACTACCACCACCACATTCACTACAACAACAACACAAAACGGTAACTACTGTCTGTACAGGTCGTTGAAGCCAGAGGAGTTGGCGCCGCATGCTGTCGCCACGGACTGTTTAGTTTAAGTGTGTCCCCGACATAAAATTCCGTGATTAAAAAAAAAAAATACACTATACTCACAAATAGCGGAAATAAAAATATCGTCATATCTCCCTCTCCGAAGGAAAGATGTTTAACTAACCTTGGCATCCGTGTCGACCCAAACCAAACTGGACCGTAAGCCTTCTTAGTTAACAGTTTCTGTCATCAACGAATAGTTGTTGATCGAGTTAAGCGTCGGGGGGAGGCTAATTTGGACTGTACTGAAATCGGATGTCTTTGGGCGTAAGGCGCAGATGTCGCAGCTTAGCTGTAAACCACAACACAACGTGCCAATCGGCCCTTAATAGAAAAAAAGAAAAATTAGCACCCAGCGGAGACTTTAGGGCAGATATCGAAGTCTAGCTGTAAACCACAACACAAGGTGCCAACTGCCCACTCAAAAGGCGAACGAATATTACCCGTGACATGAACATTAAGCATCAAGTCGCCGCCATCGCAGGCTAGCTGTAAATCCTAAAATCAAAAGCGTAGATATTGCAGCCTAGCTATAAACCACAACAAAACGTGGCAGCCACCCAGTTAGCCCCCCCACCCCCCCCCCCCCCCCCCCCCCCCCCCCCCCCCCCCCCCCCCCCCCCCCCCACCAATGTATATTACTCAACGGGGAATCGAACCCCTATCACCCGCGTAAAATGAGAAATGCCTACAACTAACTACGCTACTAAACAAACAAGCGTTTAGTAGAAATGAAAGTATATAGTAATAATGTGAAGTTCGGCGTTACACAGTCAAAGGTGGCCAATTGATAAAAAATAAATCCGGGCGGGGCAACGAAAAAAAATAATGTTTTGACCGTTGCTGGAGCTACGTCGTTCGTGATTTGTGCAATTTTATGACAAATAATTAGGCTTTAAGTCAGAGGCAATGTTGTGTGCAAACTTGAAAGCAATCGTTTCAGTAGTTTCCGAGTTTAGAGCTAACGACATCGGAAAATTAGGATTTTTATTAATATAAGAAGATATATTTAAATTTATATATATATATATATATATATATATATATATATATATATATATATATATATATATATATATATATATATATATATATATATATATATCGCTCGGGGGCGATCCCTTGTGGCATTGGGTAAAGCCTAAGGATTAGTCTGTACTCTTAGTCAGTGTTTCCCAAAGTGGAGCCCACGCCCCACAGGAGGCAATTTGATTGTTGGAGGGGGGGGGGGGAAGATAAATTGGATTGTTAAGGGGCACAATTTGAAAATGGACTCGTCCAGAGTTTAAGTTATGTAGGGAGCATATGAATGTTAGAAAGGCTTAGATGAGGCATGGCACAAGAAAGTTTGAAAAACACTGCTCTAAGCGAAGAATCCTATACACCGCATGTTGTGTTTTCCTAGCGCTTTCTAGCACTCGTTGCTATTGTTGTTGATGATGATGTAGTTCTTGTTAATAATATTGTTGTTCGTTTCTCTGCTGTTTTATATGAATAGATGCTAGGAAATGGAGGGGAAGATAAATGTCCTTTAATAAATTGTCATTGACAGTAACTAATTGTCGATACACCTTGCGTGTCTTTGTCGTAGTGTAAACTCTGTATGTACTTCCCTTGGATACTAACTGTTTGTCACATAAATTATTCCAGTTATTGTTTTTTAATTTTTATATTTCCACAGAAACAGTACAGACTTCTATACCAAACATTAAATCTCTTCAATGAAACAAATAATGAATACAACAATGTCGGCACAGCATGATCTTCAACTTCAACGCCACAGCAGAACAAACAACCAATACGTCAAAACTGTGTTATTTCAGATAATCAATATAATCTTTGAGATGTTCCTGTAATTGTATTCATTATCGTTTAAAGCATTAAAAAAAGAAATTAGTACACTATTTCAGCATTACTAGTGCATATAAATTCAATTCAATATCTATTACTTTCTATTGCATTTTATGTAGTTTAGCTTTTAAATGTGTATATGTGGGTGTGGGCGTGTGAGTATGTGCATGTGTGTGAGAGAATGTGTGTGTTCATGTGGGAGATTTTGTCTGTGACAGTACTGGTCAGTTATATATATATATATGCTCCATATATTTTACAGCAAGTAAACGTGGTCAGTGGGATAATGACTACATCACTCTTGGAATGCCTATCAGTTAGCATGTCGTTTTACACAACGGTGATTTCTTCACGGCACGCCTGAAAGTCTCTCTTACTAAAGCCAGTTTTCCCGCCCTTGCTTTTATAGCCAGTGCAACCTCAATGTCATGTATCCACCTTCAGCCTCCTTAAGTTTTCTATAACGTGTACAGGCCATCGCCGTTCTTGCCAGACAATCATGGCGCTTAATATTTCCAAAATACCTCAGCTTTCGGAAGAGGATGCTGTTGATGAGCCAATTCACTTTGATATTCAGGTCGTACAGGATGTCAACGTCTTCTTCTTCTTGGTCCACAGGGTTCTGAGAATGTATCTGTAGTATTTCAGTTCTAAAGCTGCGATTTTCTTCTCCAAAGACTGGATGAAAGTCCACGACTCACATTTAAAAGCTGCCACGGAAAAGAGGCATGATCTCAACTTTTTGCTTCAGCTTGCTTACAGGTGCCATGCCATTGGTTCTTCGTGCTGTTTATCCTCTGCTTTGGTAAGGCTAAAGCAAGTTGTTTTCTGACTTCTTGTGTGCAATCGCTGTTGCAGTTCCTTACTGAGCTTAAATATTCAATATCCGTGACATTTTCAAACTATTCGCTGTTTTAGAAAGTGTTTGGAATGCCAGTCAATCTAAATAAAAATTTGTAAACAAAAATATGATGCTGCCAGCATAAATCAAAATACGTCTCGTTAAAAGGAACTGGCCACTCAACATTAAATGTCATGTCATAACCAGCGGTTTCCAAACTTTTTTCAAGCCGTGACCCACTTTATAGAAGAAAAGTGACCTTCGATCTCATTTCTAAAAAATTGGTTTTTTAATATGGAAAATAAAATTCCGTTGAACGTATTCTTTCTGTTCAGGACACCCGGGGGGGGGGGGGGTGGCCTAGACTGCGAAGATCTAACGCTTAACCTGCTAACGGTAGCAGTTGCTTTGTAACTTTTTTTTTTATCCATGGTGTGAAGGGGCCATTTATTTTGCAGTAGCTTTCTATGCCGAAACCGTATGAGAAATTCAACTTGCACTTTTTAAAAATTATTCTTATTATTTATATACATATTTAGTATTTATTTTAAATCTTTTCGCCCTGTCCCATTGTTCTACTTCGTTAATGCCAGCTATGCCAGTTTTTACTTTAACCCTTTTTGTCCTATATTTTTTTTTTTTAACTTATAAACTCGAAGAGTATTTCCTAAAGTACAAAATTAAAACTGATATATAAAGTACTTAATTAACAACTGTCTGATACAGAAAGAGTTAATAGGGACAATTATATTATATGCATCAATGAGCGTGTAAACAGTGTGTCTGTGTGTGCGTGGGTGGGTGGGGGGAGGGGTGTTCATGTTACCATGTGTAGCAGTTGTCTTTCGAAGCTATAAATGAATTCTGATTTCTTAGATTGTAAATGTTCGTGTATATAGTCGTCAGTGCTTATTCTTACAAAGGTTTTCGGTTCATCCCATCGTTAGTATTAGCAAATATTGTCAGGCCTGTATGGCACTTTTTTTTAAAGGGTGGGGAGTGGGGGGGGGGGGGGCTAATATCCGCTGTGTGCTGCAAGACGTCCCAATTTAACAGTTAATACGTGACCCAAGGGTGCACCATCTGTTGTAATTATATCAGTAATTTCTTCTATGGGTGCTTCTCCGTACTGTTATCAAATTAAAATATTCTCCTAAAGTCCTGGCATATTGGTTGCTTGTGTCATTGTGTGTGTCTCTCCGTATATATTTTCCTTAAAAAAAAGTTGTAGAATAGTATACATGTTTTGGTACTGTGTCCTGTAATACAGATAATAGAACTTAGAAGAACATGTTAGGATTGTGTTCTGTCATCTTTTTATATTATGTGCGTCATCAGCCTCTAACGGCTAGGCAATGCACTTAATGACGATAACGATCAAGAGGATGACTACGTTGATGATGATGATGATGATGTTGATCATGATGATAATTGAGTACCCTTGTTGTTTAACTCCAAAATAGTGTCACCCTGTGTTTAGGAGTTAGTATAATTCCTAAAGAAAATTAAATGGGAGGCTTATTGATACTTCTTCTTAGCGTTCACCGGCTGTCAAATCCAGCGTAGAATCATGGCTGTTTGTTTACTTCAAGGCTTTAGTCTTGTTCTAGATCTTGTGTTTTACGTGCACAGTCGTGTTACAGATCTGGCTTATTTGTGTGCAGATTGTTCGTTCGTTCGATTTGAATTAGCCACGTTCAACCTCTGGCTAAAACTAGCCTCATTCTAGTCAATATCGGTTATAATTATGGCAACAAGTTGTTTTGCTATTTTTTTTTAGCAGTGTATTCCATGTCTGTTTGGTCGGTTAGCTCGTGTCCGTCGCACTGTGCAGACTTGGATCTCATTAGGTCATGTGTTCCTTATTGTGCCATCCATTGTTGGTGTAAATGCCAATGATTGGACTGTCTCCTGAGCTATTCATTTGGATAATGCTGTACCAATTCTTCTTGTTGTTACAGTAGCTACCATCGTTGTTGTTATGCGATGAAGTCCTCGGTGGCTATCGCATTCTTGACCAGGTTTCGTCAACGTTGTCGGTTTTTCGTATTCGTGCATATCGCCATTCAAGATGTTACAGGCCGTCATTCTGTTGTTTGCTTATAATTTTTTCCTCTGGACTAGACGTATTCTTTTCTTCTGATTTTTCCTTGAATTGTCGTTGCGAATCGTCGTCCATTTATCTAAAGTCTGTTTGAATCGTTTCACTAGGGTTTCATTGGTTTTCTTTGGCACAACTGCTCCGCCTCTCTCACTTGTTCTTTGGCTTTTGAAATTTAGTTACTTTAGTTTTTCTGTCCGGTTTGGGAGGTCCCATATCCACGATGTTGTATATTATTCGTTTGTCTTGCTGGTTCGTTATGTCACTGAGTAGAGCAACTATTTCTGATTTAAATTCTTCAATTAAAGCTACCTCTTTCGCTGTTTGACTTTGAACTTCTAGCGTGGTCTTTGCGATTTCTCTTATCTTTCGCATCCCCTTGCGTATATGTGCATGCTGTATGTCGTCTACTTCTTTGTCTTCTCCGAGGATTTTTATTTGACTTTCCAGGTTCATTATCTGGCCTTGAAGTTGTGCTGTATCCAGGGATGGAATGCTCTTTGGTGCTTCGTGTCTTCTTTGCGCTTCTCTATATGGTAATCTGTTAGTTCCTCGTCTCTTAGGCAAAAGCACTCGGACATTGAAGAAAACACCAATAATTAGTCGCCTTGCCAGAGACAGTGAGTCTATCCCCCCTCCCCCTACCCCAGAAGTGGGACCCATGAATCCACGCGGGGAGCGTACTGGTGCAATTTATTGGCCCCTGCCCCCTTCCTGATATAATGTCTTTTGCTTTAATTTCTTTCCGATCCGCCATGGCCTCCAATAAATATTTATTCTTCTTCTTCTTCTTTTTCACTTCCTCTTTTTACTTCCTCTGTGGGTGTCAAGTGAGATATAAGGTTCTGTTTCTAGCTCTTCTGGCTGCCTCGACCATAGGCACATCGTGCTGTTGTAGAGTTTCTCTGATGTTATCCTTCCATCTTGTTCTTGGTCTACCCCGTGCTCTACGTCCTTCTTCTCTTTCCATGTATGCTTTGTATGGTATGGTGTCACAAGGCATTCTCTCTAAGTGGGCAAACCATTTCACTTGCTGTCTTTGTATGTAATCCAGAATTGGTTCAGTGCCGACTTGTTCTCTTATGATCTCATTCCTGATCTTATCTTTTATGGTCACTCCTACAGCCCTTCTCAGACATCTCATTTCCGTGGTTACTAATTTTCTTTTATGGTTTGTTGTGAGTGACCATGTCTGGCACTGGTAGCACAGAGTTGGAATAAATATGCTTTGAATAAGATGTCTCTTTGTGCTGATTGGGATTGTCTTATGCTGTAAGAAGGGGGCTAGCTGTCCCAATACTTGGTTTGCTTTACTGCATCTAATGTTAATTTCTTTATCCAATTTCCCATCTTCGGTAAATGTAGTTCCCAGATATTTAAACTCAGATGCCTGTTTAATGCCTTTGTGTTCTATTGCTATGTTTTGATCTGTCTTCTTTTTTCCTATTGACATTACTTCTGTCTTTTCAGTGTTGATTCTCATATTATTTGTTTTACATTCTTCATTCATAAATATATATTTATTGCTCAAACAAATTGAAAGGCCACTCAGTTTTAAAATACAATTATGAAACTTGTATATAGAAAAAGACTTTCGTCACAAATTACATTTACATTAAAAGAAAGAAAAACAAATGATTTCGTTAGTAAGAAAATCGATATCCATTGTCTTACAACCGTTTTTGAAAATTCAGAATCATTAAACAAAAGAGTTAACATAATTCAGAATCGACTGAGGTCAGCAGCATGTTGGATGATTTTCTCAAAGTCTACCTACTAGCACATCCCATACAATATACATTTTCTGTCGGACTGAGGTCAGCAACATGTTGGATGATTTTCTCAAAGTCTACCTACTAGCACATCCCATACAATACATTTTCTGTCGGACTGAGGTCAGCAACATGTTGGATGATTTTCTCAAAGTCTACCTACTAGCACATCCCATACAATACATTTTCTGTCGGAC